GCGGATAAAAATCAGGAGGAGGACACCTCAGCTGGGAAGGTCCTCCCTGAGGAGTGAGGGGTCCCCGTCCCACACCAGGTGCCCAACTCAGGGTTCCAGTGCCAGGAAGAGAAGTCCCCAAAACTCCAGGCTGGAAAACCCAGCGGGAACTGAGGCTCAGGGAGGCTCTGGCTGCAGGAGCCCCAGGCAGCTCCTCTTAAAGGGCCCGCACATGGACTTACTCAGACATGCTCCCTGTAAACTTGAAGGGGAGGCAGCTTGCAGGATGCCAGAGACATACAGGGAAGAACTGAGCTGTTTGGCCTCAGGACAAGGTCTGAAGAGGCAGCTTTCTCTTGGACAGACATGCTGGTGGAGGCTGATGTTCCTTTGGTGAGCCCTTCCCTGGGGCAGCAGATAGCCACCATATCTGGGACTCCAGCAACCTGGCTCACACAGTTTGCCCTGCCCTGGTGATTCCCTGAGTCCCTGTCCCACCCAACTTTCAGGCCCACCCAAGCTGGTCCCAAAGGCTTTACCATAGGATTGGCCTGTCTTAGATCCTACTTCAGAGTTTCCTAAAATCTCTCAGACAAGCAGCATCTGGTCTCAGCAAGCCCCACACCTCTTGTTAAGTGGCCCCAGGCCTGGCACTAGAAGCAGCCAGCCTTGGTTCACAGCTTGGCTTTGCCTGGGCATATCCAAGCCCAGCACAAGAAGCAAACAGAGGTAGATTACTTTGTAGCTTATGCCAGGTGGCCCCGGATAGAACACAGGCAGTGGCTGACCTTGCCCCAGAGCCAGTACACCCAATGGACAGCTCCAGACCACACTGAAACACCACCACCCAACCACCTCCACAAATGACACACTCAATGAGTGGACTCAGTGGGTACCAGAGCCCTGATGAAGTAAGTTTTGCTCTGTGTGTTGAGGTCCTACACCGCTGATCCTCCAAGGGAGTTAGAAGCCAGAGGTCAGTGGGCACAGCCAGTCCTTGCAGCTGATCAGCCTGAGTAAATACCTCCCATTGATGTGCCAACAGCAATCAAGACTCAATTACAACAGAAGGGTGTACAGTCCACACTAGGGGTGCACCTCAAGGGCCCAGCTGGAGTGATCAGGGAGGCTGAGCCACTGGATCCTACAGGACACCTACAACAATAGGCCACCCTACAAAGCCCAGGAGACATAGCAACTCTACCTAATACATAGAAACAATCACAGGGAGGCAGCCAAAATGAGGGGACAAAGAAATATGTCCCAAATGAAAACAAAACTCCAGGAAAAGAATTAAACAAAATGGAAATAAGCAATCAATCAGATGCAGAGTTCATAAAACTGGTTATAAGTTTGCTCAAGGAACTTGGTGAGACCTTCAAGGAACTTAGTGAGAATATCAACAACATAAAAAAGGACCAGTCAGAAATGAAGGATGCACTAACTGAAATAAAGAATAATTTACAGGGAATCAAAAGTAGAGTAGGTAAAGCCAAGAAGCAAAAATCATTGAATTGAAATATAAGGAAACAAAAAACACCCATTCAGAACAGCAAAAAGAAAAAAGAATCCAAAAAAATGAGGATAATGTAAGGAGCCTCTGGGACAACTTTAGGCGTGCCAACATTCACATCAGAGGGGTGCCAGAAGGAGAAGAGAGAGAACAAGAAATTGAAAACCTATTTGAAACAATAATGACAGAAAAATTCCCTAACTTGGTGAAGGAAACGGACATACAAGTCCAGGAAGCACAGAGAGTCCCAAACAAGATGAACTCAAAGAGGTCCACACCAAGACATATCATCATCAAAATGCCAAAGGTTAAATACAAAGAGAGAATCTTAAAAGCAGCAAGAGAAAAACAGTCTGTAACCTACAAAGGAGCTCCCATAAGACTGTTAGCCAATTTCTCAAAAGAAACTTTGCAGGCCAGTAAAGAGTGGCAAGAGATATTCAAGGTGATGAAAAGCAACGACCTACAACCAAGACTCCTCTATCCTGCAAAGCTATCGTTTAGAATCAATGGACATATCAAGAGTTTCCCAGATAAGAAAAGGCTAAAGGAGTTAATCACCACCAAACCAGTATTATATGAAATGTTGAAGGGTCTTCTTGAAGGAGAAGAACAACAAAAATATGAACAACAAATGGCAATTAATACATATCTATCAACAAGTGAATCTACAAATAAAATGAGCAAGCAGAACAGGAACAGACTTATAGATACTGAGAACTTGTTTGTTACTTGCCAGATGGGCGGGGGATAGGGGGATGGGTGAGAAATGTGAAGGAAATTAAGAAGTACAAATTGGTTGTTAGACCAATGAACCTCAAAGGGAAGGGGGGAGGGAGGGTGGTATGAGGTAAATCAAAGAACTTCTATGCATATATGCATAAACAATGGACACTGACAATAGTATGGGGAAGGCTGGAAGGGGTTGTGATTGGGAAGGAAAGGGTTAATGGGGGAAATAGGAGGGATATCTGTAATACATTCAACAGTGAAGATGAGTTTAAAAAATTCTCTATTAGGTACCAAGTCTTCAAAACCCAGTGAGTATTCTAACTTACAGCATCCCTTGATTCAGATGTGCCACATTATGGCCAGTGGCTACCATATTGGATTGCACAGATATAGAGGGTCCATGCCCCCATCAATGTTGACAGTCTCTTACCCAACTGGAAAGTAAAGTTGGAAATCTTTCAAAAGATGAGGAATGAGGAATGTGTTTATATGCTTGGCTCACCCCCAAGACTTTGACAAATGCAGGTGTGGAGGAGTTAAACCAATTAATGATGAAGAAAAGAAAATGGATTATGGTGGTTTTATGGGTACATTATGTTTCCCTCCCCCAAATACATATACTGAAGTGCTAACCCCCGTACCTCAGAATGTGACTATTTGAAGACAGAGATCTTTACAGAGATAAGTTAAAGTGAGGTCATTAGCCTATGAGGCATCACCTCATACCTGTCAGAATGGCTGTCATCAACAAATTATCACACAACAAGTGCTGGTGAGGGTGTGGAGAAAAAGGGACTCTAGTACACTGCAGGTGGGCATGCAGACTGGTGCAGCCACTGTGGAAAACAATATAATGTTTCCTCAAAAAATTAAAGTTGAACTGCCATTTGACCCAGTGATCTAGGAATATATCCTAAGAAGCCTGAAACTCCAGTCAGAAAGAATATATGTATCCCTATGTTCATAGCAGCACTATTTACAGTTGCTAAGATCTGGAAACAGCCCAAGTGTCCATCACTAGATGAGTGAATAAAAAAGCTGTGGTACATATACACAATGGCACACTATGCAGCTGCAAGAAAGAAAGATCTCTTATTGTTTGAGATGACATGGAGGGACCTGGAGAGTATTATGCTAAGTGAAATAAGCCAATCAGAGAAAGACAAATATCACACGATCTCACTTAATTGTGGAATATAATGAACAAAATAGACCCAGAAACATAGTAGTAGGATTCAGACTGACAAACCTCAGAAGAGGAGGGTTGGCGGGGAGGGAAGAGATAAACCAAAGAATTTATATGCACATATGTGCAACCAATGAACATAGACAACAATGCTGGGGGTGAAGGTGCGATAGGGAGGAGGAGGGTGTCAATAGGGGAAAAATGAGAAACATCTGTAACAAAATAAATTAATAAAAAATATATAACCCTGGCCGGTTTGGCTCAGCGGTTAGAGCTTTGGCCTGCGGTATGGAGACACCTGGGTTCGGTTCCCGCTAAGGGCATATACTTTGGTTGCAGTTTGTCCCTGGACCTGGTTGGGTCGTGCGGGTGGCAGCCACTCTATGTGTCTCTTTCACGTCGATGTTTCTCTCTCTCTCTCTTCCTTTCTCTCCCTCCCGCTCTATATGAATAAAAAATGGAAAAATGTCCTCGGGTGAGGATAAAATATATATCCCAGCCAATGTGGTTCAGCAGTGGAGCATCGACCCATGCACCAAAAGGTCGCCGGTTTGATTCCCAGTCAGGGCACATGCCCAGGTTGTGGGCCCGATTCCCAGTGCGGGCCATGCAGGAGGCAGCCAATCGATGTTCTCTCATCTCTCTTCTCTCTTCCTATCTCTCTTCTATCTCTCCCTCTCTCTAAAAATCAATAAAGAAAAAAATAAATATATAAATGAGGTCATTAGGGCGAGCCCTAATCCATGTGACTGGTGTCCTTATCCAGAGGGGGAATTTGGACGCAGAGACACAGGAGAAGACAGCATCTAGAAGCCAGAGAGAGATGCCTCAAAAGGAACCAACCCTGCCCACACCTTGATCTCAGACTTCCAACTCCAGACTGTGAGAAAGAAAACATTCATGCTGTTCAAGATCCCGAGTCTGTGGTGCTCTGTTACAACAGCCCTAGTAGATGAATACAATCATGTTGGCTGGGGGCAATTGAAGAGAATGATTTGACTATGTAGCCCTTGGGACAACTGACCACGTGTTCTCCTCTCCACCTGCACCATGCATGTGGTGACTCACGGTGTCCTGGGGGCCCCTCTGCACAAGACTTGAGGGAAGGAGGGGAAAAGGAGCCGGTAATAATAGTTCAAGTCTTTATCCCTTACCATCTGTGATGGGCCAACACACTTCATTCCTGGGGTTCCTGACAAGTAGAACATCCCCCAACCAAAGTTTCTGGCAAAAGGCCTTCTGCAGATAAGCCACAATGAAACATTTGGGTGTTTAACAAAAAAACTCTAGTTCTGGGCAGAAAGATTGCTCTGCTCCAACTCTGAGACAAGTGGAAAAGGCCAGAAGAACAAGTAACAACGTTGGTGGCCAGACTCAAAGGAACCTGCGTGCCGTGCCATGACCCTGGTGGAGAGCATGAGTTGAGGCGAGACACTACCCAGAACCCACAGCAACTGAACTAGTGTGCGTGTGTGCACCTGGCTGCTCTGCCCGCAGACCCTGCCTGCCACACAGACCACCTCTGGGAGTCATTCGAGGTGCAGCCCAGTCTCACCGTCAGGACAGCCAGGAGCAGCTCTGCCATTCAAGTCAGCGGTATAAGTTATCAATTTGCTTTTTGTATTTCTGGATTACGAAATGTCTCTTAATCTTTGTTGTTGGACCTATTGGGAAGGGAGAAAAGGGTTCAGTTGTGGAGATAAAATAAAAGTCCCTGTACCCTGCACATGACCACACAACAGGGCTGTATGACTGGAGCTAGCTGGTGGCCCACTTCCTGGTGCACCACCTTTGCCATCACTGGGGTGGAGTAAGTGACAAGGAGAGATCAGATGGAGAGAACCCCCGAGAGGTCATAGTAAGGAGTATGGCTTTTATTCCCAGAGTGGGGGATGTGGCTGCCCTGGGGAGAAGGGATTCGGGGGAGGGGGGGCAGGTCCGGAGGAACCAGTCAGATAGAGGTGTCAGTGTCCTTCTCTCTGTCCTCAGCTGGCCCCACAGACCCTTTGTCCCTCAGAATAGGGCATGTCTCAGAGCCCATATGGCCCTGGACACTAACAAGGGACCAGCCTCCAAGTGCCAAGGCCACCAGCTCTCTAGGCCACGCACCCAGCTCTCCGCCATGGATGGAGAAGTCTTTGTCCAAGATGATCCACTTCTGAATCCTCTGCGCACTGGAGGTGGCTTCCTGATTCACAGCATCTATGCCCTTCTGGATGGCACTGTACACCAGGGGGTCTCGCAGCTCCACGACCTCAGTCACGGTGGACGCAGCACTGCCAAGGCTCTGGCAGAACTTGATGGACTCAAAGCTCAGTTTGTCCAGCGGCTCTCCACTTGTCTTATCCGTCTCACACTGCCCCAGGACACCCTGGTCACCACACCCTACACCTCCACACACTCCCCAGCGGGCCCCAGGACTAAGAAGAAGGTCCAGAACCCACAGGGGTGCACCCTCTGGACCCTAGGACAGAGAGCCCGCAGGACACCCACGTTACCTTCAGCGTCAGCAGGATGCTTAGAAACTTTGCCTTGTCTCCCACTAACATGGCATTACTGATGATGGGTATCTTCTCTTTAACCTTGTTCTCGATGGGAACAGGGGGCACATTCTCGCCGCCAGCCGTGATGAGGATTTCTGGAACAACACACGGCTCTGTGTGGGTTCAACCAGGACAATAGGAAACGCCCACCCTCTTGAGGATCTGAGGGGAAGATATTGGCACAGACAACCCCTCACCTAGAAAACCCCAGAAGCAGAAGAGGAACCCTGCCCTTGGCCAGGACTCCCAGCATGCCCTTCTCCAAGTCAAAGACCCCAAGTTATTCTGCCCCTCCTCCTCTATTTTCTTCAAATTCCCATAAAATGTCTGAATCCTGTGCATCCCACTTGGACAGTGTCTTATTGATTCATTGGCTATTTCTCAGTCTCCCATACCCTGCGTCAGGCCCTCTGTCTTGCTCAGAAGATGGTGAAATGCTTCTGGCCACATCCTCTCTCTCTGTCCCCTGACTTTTCCATCACTTGGCAATCCCAAAAGAACCTAAGTCCAGTCTTACCCAGAGATTTTGTGTAGCATCCCTAATTTTGGCATGTCTAAAAAAAGTGTGTCACCCAGCTGGTGTGGCTCAGTGAACTGAGCGTCATTCCATGGACTGAGAGGTTCAGATTAGATTCCTGGTTCAGGACACATGCCGGGCTGTGGGCTCGATCCCCAGTGGGGGTCATGCAGGAAGCAGCCGATGGATGTATTTCTCTCACATCAATGTTTCTATCTCTCTCTAAAAAATCAATGAAAATCTATTTTTTAAAATTGTGTCACTTTTTCCTTCAAGCCTCAAAAATTCTCCAAGAACTCCTCCTCCTGGCCCAGGCACATTCTTCTCTTATCTTTCTTCCTGGAATGCTGGCGGCTTTCTGTTCCATCCACCCAAACTCTCTCCATCTCATCTCAAGATCTCACAGTCACCTTTACTGATGTCATTACAGCAGTAGTAATAATATGACCACATAATATGGACATCTGTAGTATTGTCTGCCCAGTGACCCCTCCAGATAAATGCACTCTGATGTTTCCTTAGGAAACTACTGTTCATCTTTATATGGCTTGGTAGGTGAACTACAGGGTGAGCATGTTACCAGGTCTGACAAATCAGCATATTTCATCCTCTACAGTGATTAATTCTGAAATGGGACCCAGGGAGAGTCAGGGCTAAAACTTTTGCAGAAACTACTGGGAATAACACAATCTTATCCTTGGGGATCGGGTAAGCCTAGACTCTTGGCAGCCATCCTGTCACTAAATGGGGAAAAGCCTCTTCAAGTATGGCCCCAACACAGAAGATAACTCGGTAAGAGAAAGAGAAAAAAATTCTTTGTGGCATTGTTTTGACACCTGGATCCAGCCATGCCTGAAGCAAGACCTTTTGGACTTAGTTTTTGAAACTTTTTTTTTCATTCAAACCTATTTAAGAAGGGTTTTCTAGCTATTCCGTGTCAGGTTCAGTGCCAAATGCTTGTCTACATCAGGGGTTGGTAAACTATAGCCTGCAAGCCAAATTTGGCCTTCTGCCTGTTTTTGCATGGCCACGAGCCAAAATTGGTTTTTACATTTTTAATTTTATTGATTTTAGAGAAAGAGGAAGGGAGACGAAGAGAAAGATAGAAACATCGATGAGAGGGAACATGGATTGGCCGCCTCCTGCATGCCCCCCACTGAGGATTTGGCCCATAACCTGGGCATGTACCCTGACTAGGAATCGAACCGGTGACCTCTTGGTGCATGGGTCAATGCTCAACCACTGAGCTACACCAGCTGAGTGGTTTTTAAATTTTTAAACGGTTGGAAGGAAATCCAAAGAAGGAGAATATTTGTGACACGTGAAAATTTTATGACATTCACACATTGGCACACAATCACATCCATTCATCTATGTATCATCTATGGCTGCTTCTACGCTACACTTCTGCCAAGTCGTGTAGCTGCGACAGAGACGTGTCCTGCAAATCCAAAAATATTTATGATCGGGCCTTTGCAGGAAAAGCTGGCCAATTCCTGTTTTACATCATTTCATTTAATCCTTATTTAATTGTTATAACTCTGTAGATTATTGTTAGTCTCATATTACAGGGGAGGAAACATGTTTCAGGGCTGGAGTGGGTGTCTTTCCCAGGTCCATCCTGCCGAGGGCCAAATGCTGCACACAAGGACAGAGCTGGGATGTGCAGAAAGGATGACCCTGTATATCCATGTGCTGCCACGGTGGGAGGTGGGGAGCAGAGGGCCTGTGTTAGAGTTGGTATGCTAGCCTCTTAAATGCTCAGGGTGGGCATGCTTGCAGGAGACCCCCGCAGAGACCAGCCCCAGTACCTTTGATGCGGCCAGTGATGTAGAGGAAACCCTGGCTGTCCATGCGGCCCAAGTCCCCAGTGTGTAGCCAGCCTTCCTCATCGATGACCTCCATGGTCTCCTCCTGCCTTTCCAGGTAGCCCATGCAGACATGCCGGCCCCAGATGCAGATCTCCCCAATGCCATCACTGGTCTGCTGCAACAGCATGTTTTTACATCCACTTATGATTTTGCCACAGCTGCTGGGGAACAGGAAGAGGGATACTGAGGCTCAGAGGGATGAGGCCACCCACACAGGTCAGCCTGGGTCTGCAGCCCAGGCTCCTGACACTCTGCTCAGCTGGCCCAGCCGGATCTGCTTCCTTCACCCTCTCCAGGACACGAGGGGCAGAAGGAGACGTTTGTTGAAAGAGAGAGAAAGGGAGTGTCCAATTCAGTGAGGCAAATTCCCCAACACTTGGTGAACGGGGACACACAGCGGGGTATGTTTTAATCTCTACATAAATGGGAGAAGGACAAAGAGCTCCAGGCTTAAGAATAGCAACAAAACCCCTCATCTTTCGAAAACAGATGTACAGACCTGCGCGCAGTGACCAGGACAATCAACCAAAACCTCTTCAGAGGTTAAAGTTACTTCCATGAAACAGAATAGCACTATATGAAATCTGGATTCTTAAAGGACTTCTTTTCCTAGAGATAGGAAGGGCAATTTTTGAAATCAGAAAAGGAAGTAATGCTGCTTTGCTGAGATCTCTTTCACTACTAGTAGGACCAATGGTCTTAAGGCTAATTGTAGGGCACTCCCAAGAAGCTCAAAATTTACTCAGAGCCGCCTTATGACTTCCCCACTGAAGGCCTTTCTAGGAATGTGGAAGAACACAGAAGTCATAAAGAAGATTGATCAATTCAACCACGGAAAGATAAAAAGAAATTCTGCACAGCAAAAAACACTTGAACTAAAACTAAATACCAATGGTAAACCTAGAGGTAAAATATTTGCAACTCATATAAAAAATGAAGGGCTGATTTTCCTAATATACAAAGAGTGCCAACAAACCAACAATAAAGGGACAGATAATCTAGTTTTAAAAGGGGGCAGATGATATGGACAGATAGTTCAGAGAAAAGGAAATACAAATGGCTTCTAAATGCATGAAAGGATAGCCCTGGCCAGTGTGGCTCAGTTGGTTGGAGCATCCTCCAGTACACTAAAAGGTGGCAGGTTCAATTCCCAATCAGGGCACATACTTGGGTTTCGGGTTTGATCCCAGTTGGGGTACAGGAGAGAGGCAACTAATCGATGTTTCTCTTCTCTCTCTCTCTCTCTCTCTCTCTCTCTCTCTCTCTCTCTCCTCCCTTCCTCTCTATAATAAAATTTCTAACAAAATTTTAAAAAACTAAAAAAAAAGGTATAAAAAGATTTTTTCACTTTAATTTAAAATAAAAGGAATTTGTCCTAGCTGGTTTGCTAAGTGGTTAGAGCATCAGCCCACAGACTGGAGAGCCCTGGGTTTGGTTCCCACTAAGAGCATGTACCTCAGTTGCAGTTTGTTCCCAGCCAGGATTGGGGTTGTGTGGGTGGCAACCATTCAATGTATCTCTCTCACATCGATGTCCCTTTCTCTCTCTTCCTCCCTCTCTCCCTCCCGCTCTATCTGAAGATATAGGCAAAAATGTCCTCAGGTGAGGATAAAAAATAAAATAAAAGAAATCTTGCCCTGGCCGGTTTGGCTCAGCGGTTAGAGCGTCGGCCTGCAGTCCAGAGAGACCTGGGTTCGGTTCCCGCTAAGGGCGTGTGCCTCGGTTGCAGTTTGTCCCTGGCCCTGGTTGGTCGTGCAGGTGGCAACCACTCAATATGTCCCTTTCACGTCGATGTTTCTCTCTCTCTCTCTTTCTTCCTCTCTCTTCCTCCCACTCTATCTGAACAAAAATGGAAAAATGTCTTCGGGTGAGGATAAAAAAAAAAAAAGAAATCTCAATGAAAATTGTGATAAAATACCATTTTTCTCCAATTAGTTTAGCGAAATGTATGGTATACATACTAAACATTCACTTCAGCATTGTTTATGGTCGCAAATAATGGAGGAAAAAAGCTTTATATATCCACCACAAAAGAGACTGATTAAATAAATTATGGTATATCCACCCAGTGAAATAGTATGCAGTTGTTAAAAATAAGGCAGCTGTTTGCACTGATAAGGAACATCCTCTACAAGAATCCCCTACTAACCAAATTTGTTTAGTTCCTGAGCTTGGATGGGTGGGTCAAGACTGAGTGGAAGGAATTCTGAATCCAGCTGGTGAGGTATATCATGTTATCTGAGTGTTTTTGGTTCCTGAACTCATAGCAGAAAGGATGAGTTTTGTGTCCATTTTACATAGGAAATGTTTCCATTTGGGATGAAAATGTATATGTCAATGCACTCTTATGTCAAGTTAATTTAAAAGAATACAAGGTTTGCCCTGCCCGGTTTGGTTCAGCAGTTGGAGTGTCGGCCTGCAGACCAGTGAGTCCCGTGTGTGATACCGGTCAAGGGCACATACCTTGGTTGTGGTTCATTCCCAGCCTTGGTTGGGTCATGCAGGAGGCAACCAGTCGATGTGTCTCTCTCACATTGATGTTTCTCTCTCTCTCTCCCTTCCTCCCACTCTATCTGATAATAAAGAGAAAAAAAGAATACAAGGTGGGTCCAGCCAGTGTGGCTCAGTGGTTGAGCATCAACCCATGAACCAAGAGGTTGCCGGTTCGATTCTAGGTCAAGGCACATGCCCAGGTTGTGGGCCAAATCCCCAGTGGGAGGCATGCAGGAGGCAGCCCACTGATGTTCTCTCTCGTCAATGTTTCTCTCTCCCTCTTCCTTCTGCTCTTTCTAAAATCAATAAAGAAAAATAAATTTAAAAAATACAAGGTGGTTATTTTGCCTCTGGGAGGGTGCTTTGGGTTGAATTGTGTCCCCTCATTCATATTTTGCATCCAAACTCCCAGTTCCTCAGAATGTGAACTTACTTGGAAATAGGGTCTTTGCAGATGTAATTGGTTAAATTAAGATGATGTCATACTGGAGTAGCTGACTGGTGTCTTTATAAAAAAAAAGAGGAGCCCTGGCCAGTTGCTCAGTGGTTAGAGTGCCCACCCAAGAACTGAAGAGTCGCACGTTCAATTCCCAGTCAGGGGCATGTACCTGGGTTACAGGTTTGATCCCCAGCCCCCATCAGTGTTGCACAAGAGGCGACCAATCGATGTATCTCTCATATGGATGTTCCTTTCTCTCTCTCTCTCTCCCCCTTCCATGCTATCTAAAAATTAATGGAAAAATATCCTCCAGTGGGGATTTTAAAAGGGAGGTGGTGGATTTGGACACAGACACACACACGGAAGGACACCATGTGAAATGAAGGCAGAGATGAGGATGGTGCTGCTCAAGCCCAGGGATGCTACAAGTTGCCAGTAACCACCAGAAGCTGGGAGATCGCATGGAACAAATTCTCCCTCACAAGTTTAAGAAAGTACCAGCCCTGCAGACTAATCTTGGACTTCTGGTCTCCAGATTGAGAAGAAATAAATTTCTGTTGTTTAAGTGTGTGGAACTCATCCAGGGTGAACAGGAGGTTTGGATTGGGGTGGAGAGGGAGCTTTTCATTCTATCATTTCATACCTTCTGATTTTTGTGTGTGTACGTATTCCTCATTGAAAAAAAAATAGTTAAAGATAGAGGCTGGAGTTTGTACCTTATCTCCAGGGTTGGCACACTGTCACTTCTCTTTAGTGAAGGACGACCTTTTGGTTTTGGAAGAACTCAAGTGGGCATTTGGGTTCTGCAGAAAACAGATCTCAGATAGGATTGTGGAGTGGAGAGGGGGAGATATTGAGATACAAATTTCCCCTGCAAGGTAAAGTAAAAGGCAAGAGATATTTTTGCCAGCTTAGGAAGATTGAAGTTCGTTTTTGCTAAGTTCAAAGGCATTTGGAAGCTGGCCAAGTATGAAAGACAAGCCAGACTTGCAACACGATGGCAGGGAAGGAAGAGAGACGACCACAAGATTCTATGAAGGAACATGGCTCTCAGACTTCGAGTGGACCTTGCCTTTGGTATTCATACTGTTTCCATATTACTGGCTTCATCCTGCAGCCTGGGGTGAGCTGAGCCTGGGAGAAAGCCAGAGAGGGTCTGTGGATATGTTTGAGATGAAGCATCAATGGAGATGAAGAGTCCTGAGGTCCCAGCAGGGGAACGTGGGTGTGTGAGCCCAGGGTGGTCTGTCTGGAGGCAGAACTCACAGTGGCAATCAGGGGTAGACCATAGAAGATTCTAAGAGCCCTTCCCCTTGTTGGTGGACTCTCTGACAAACTGGGGCTTTCCATGGTCATGAAGATTTGGGGCCTGGAAGCTGGAGAACAGGGATCATTCTGGAGACACCAGGTCAGAATTCATCTGAGCCCAGAGGCCCATCCACCCTCCCATCTTCCTTCCCCTGACCCCGTGTTGCTCTTGGACTGGGGGGTCTGTCCAGGAGGCCAGTACCTTAGAAGTCTATAGGTATCAAAGCTGGATACGGTGTGAGGTCCTGAGCATTCACTCATACCGTACATCTCGCCTATAGGTATGTCCAGGCTTAGAAAGAACTCAGAGGTATTTGGGCAGAGGGGTGCGGCACCACTGATAAATATGTGGCAGTGATCGAGACCAAGGGAGCTCCTGACTTTGCTGAACACAAGTGTCTTCGCCATGCGGTAGCTCATGGGAGTGTCCTGTGTCCTGTGAACAATGCCAAAGAGAGTTCTATAGTCATGGGTCCAAACAGGCTGCTGGGTCTCAGCTGGGCCCCTCAAACATCACCCTCCCCACCTGACCCGGTGGACCCTCCACCTACCCCAGCATCCTTTTTGTATTGAACTTTAAGCCAACAGTTCTTGCCCATGAAAATATCTTCTTCTTCAAGTTTGAGGATTTGGCACTAGCTTCCCTTATCTTCTCCTCTATCTTCTCCCAAATTCGGGGCACCCCCAGAAAAGCAGTAGGCTTTACCTCCTGCAGGGTGCTGACCAAGGTGCCCTGCATGGGACAGAGCTGAGTTAACCACACCTGACCCTTCCACGAACCCCAGATGTCCATCTCTGTCCAGCCACTCAACTCAGCCCAGGAGAACCTTCTCTTGGCTGATAGGATGAGTGTGAGTTCCCAACTCAAGCAAGCCAGCTCACTGGCTGGTTGGCAGCCAATCAGATTTTCTTTCTCTAGAGTGGAGAGTGGTAGGCTGATATAAAATCTGTTGCCCAAGCATGCAGTGGAATATTATGCAACTGTTTAAGAGGATGCAAAATTTCCCCCAAAACTGATCTATAGGTTTAATGCAAAACCCTATCGAAGTCCAGGCAGACTTGTTCATACAAATTGACAAGCTGACCTTAAAATTGATATGGAAATGTGGAGGACCTGAAAAGCCAAAGCAATTCTGGAAAAGAACAAAATCAGAAGAATTTCTACTTGACTTTGAATGTATTATAAAATAGTGTGATCAACCATCCTGGTTTTCCCAGAAATAAAGGAGTTCCTGGAATGTGGAATTTTCAGTTATAAAACTGGGAAAGTCCTGGAAAAACTGGGACAAAGTAGTCATCCTACCATAAAGCCAGAAAAACAAAATCAGTATGGTTTTGATGTAAGAATAGACATATAAATCATTGGAACAGAATAGAAAACCCAGAGTGGATCTTTACATTTGCAATCAATTGACATTCAGTCAAAGAGCCAAGGCAATTGAATGGTGTAAAAGATATTCATATCTCCCCCAAAATTAAAAATGAAAGTAAGAGCTTTGCTTAGAACCTTACTTCTCACCAAACAGAAAAAAACACCCAAAATAGATCACCGACCTAAATGTAAGAGCTAAAACTAAAAGGCTTCTAGAAGAACACATAGAAGAAAATTTCTGTGACCTTGACATGGGCAACGATTTCTTATATATGACCCCAAAAGCATAAAAAAAATAAATTGAGCTTCAGAGTCAAAATAAAAAGACAAGTCACAGATCTGGGAGAAAGTATTTGCAAATCATATATTTAAGAAAGAATTTATGCCCTGGCCAGTTTCACTCAGTGGTGAGAACGTTGGCCTGAAGACAAAAGGGTCTCGGGTTCAATTCCCAGTCAAGGGCACATAGCTGGGTTGCAGGTTTGATCCCTGGCTTGGGTCAGGTTTGTGCGGGAGGCAATCAATTGATGTGTCTCTCTCACATTCATGTTTTTCTCTCTCTCCCTCCCTCCCTCCCACTCTATCTAAAAATCAATGGAAAAGATATTCTCAGGTGAGGATTAACAACAACAACAACAAAAAGAATTAATTTCCAGAATGTATAAAGAACCCTTAAAACTCAAGCATAAGAAGATATGGTTAAAAAAGATTTTTAATTGATTTTCAGAGACAAAGGAAGGGGGGGGAGAGAGAGAGAGAGAGAGAGAGAGAAACATCGATGTGAGAGCGGAACCTCAATCGGCTGCCTCCTGCACGACCCTCCCCCCCACACACACACACACACAAGAAATGGAGCCAACACCCCATGTGCCCTGACCAGGGATCAAACTGGCAAGCTTTCAGTGCATGGGATGACGCCCAACAAATTGAGCCACCCTGTCCAGGGCTTGCGACCACATTTTAAAATGGGCAATAGATTTGAACAGACATATTTCCAGAGAAGATATACAAATGGCCAATAAGCACATGAAAACTTGCTCACCACCATGAATCATGAGGGAAATGCCAATTAAAGCAATGAGATACCACTCACATCCACCAGGATAGCAACAATAATAATGATAATGATGATGACGATGACAATGTGTTACTGAGGAGGAAAAGGAACCAGAACTCTCTCATACACTTCTGGTTGGAATATAAAATGATGCAGCCACTTGGGAAAAGTCTGGCAGTTTCTTAGATTGTGAAAGACACTTTTATTACCCATCAGGTTGATTATTTTAAAGTTTTTTATACTATTACAGGGTTGATAAGGATGTGGGATGTTGGGAACTTCTCAGGTCCTGTAGGTGAGTGTAGTATACACATTCTATATTCAGCCAAAAAACTAAAGTATTCATTGAGTGGCTACTACATCTTAGACACTGAGCTTGAGGGGTCAAGGAGAAATGTAAGCAGAGAACTAAGTGACAAGGAGCCATCAGCCATACAAACAACAGAAGAATGGACGTTCTAGAAGGAATTACACAGGCCCTAAGGCAGCCTGTCTGATAGAGTGTGGAAGACAGAATCATGGTACCCCCAAAGATATTCACATCCTAACCCCCTGAACCTGTGAATATGTTATCTTTCATGGCAAAATGGACTTCGCAGATGTAAGTTAAGGGTCTTGAGATGGGTTTGGTTTTTGGAGCTTTTGGGAGTTGGGAATACTGACTTAAAAAAAAAAAAAAAGCCACATGCCCTGGCCAGTTTGGCTCAGCGGTAGAGTGTCGGCCCGAGGAGCAGGGAGTCCCGGGTTCGATTCCCGCTAAAGGCATGTACCTCGGTTGCAGTTTGTCCCCGGCCCCGGTTGGGGTCGTTTGGGCAGCAACCAGTCAATGTGTCTCTCTCACATCAATGTTTCTCTCTCTCTCTTCCTTCCTCTCTCCCTCCCGCTCTATCTGAAGATAAATGCAAAAATGTCCTCTGGTGAGGATAAAAAAAAAAAGCCACACACATTCTGCTTTCAGTATCATTCACGTCCTAGTCTTAGGTTGTTCAGTGTATAATCTACACAACCAGACACGGATGCCCTGACTTGAGTACAGATAAAAACTATAAGAATGTGATCAACTATTTTCAATGCTGCTAAATGAAGCATAAGATGAGGTCAGAAAAGGAACCCCTAGCACTGGGGCTAATGAAACCATCCACTCATCCCAGGCTGCCCTCAGCCTTACCTTGAGAGCGTCTGGTTGAGCAAAGTAGGTGAGAGCCCCGACCTTCATGGGTACCCAGATATCCATCATCTGAGCTGCAATGTGGCTGAGGGGGAGATAACTAACCACCACCTCCTGCTTTTCTGAGGCGCAAGACAGGCTGCAGTCCCTCGCCACCATCCCGGCCAACCATGTGATCTGGAACACAAGTGGGGCTTACGATCCAGGGTGCCTTGTCCTGGCTGGAGGGCCACCTAAGTGCAATTCCTTAACAAACATTTACAAAGCATCTACTGGGGGGCGGGCACTACTCTCGCCCTTTACAAACATTAAGTTGTTTAATCCTCATCATAACACCCCGGGGTCAGTAACTATGATTCTCCCTATTTACTGAGGGAACAGAAGCATAGAGAGTTAACTAACTTGTCTGAGAATCCAGCGGCAGCTTTGCAGGGTTAAATAGACACTCTTGGGCCCATCAATAGATCCTAGAGTTAGAATGTCTACCAGGAAAATCAGAAATCTGAAGGATCCAGTAAGTGTCCCTCAATCAAATCCTTTGCTTAAAATCCCTTCAGCGTTTATTTCCTCATCGGTAAAATGGACATAGAGGTGTCTCCTATCTGGTATAAAATTCTGGAACTAACATTGTCCAACACACAAAGAGGTCACCTATGATCCCATCCCATAAACACCCCAACAATTAGCATATTAATGATTTTCTTTCTCCAATCTATAATTTTGCAACCCATATTTCTCACGGATGTCATAAATCTCTGGTGAGCAGTTACTTCATTAATTCTGCCTCATGGGTCTCTGCATTGTTTCTCCAACACATCAGGCAGGGTCCAGCCTTGGGGCCTTTGCACAGGCTGTTCCCTCTACCTGGATTGCTGTTCCTTCAGCTTTCCCCATGACTGACTCCTCCTCACATGTTAAGTTTCCACTTAAATGTTGTCCACGCAGAGAGGCTGTCTCACACCACCCAAATGGAAGTTTCCATCATTTAATTCTCTAGGTATCACTCTCCATAACCTGAATAGTTTCATTTTACTTAATTTTTTTTTTTTATTCCCATTCCCACACCCACCTCTCCTTTGGCAACCATCAGCTTGTTCTCCGTATCTATGAATCTGTTTCCGTTTGTTTGTTCACTTGTTTTGTTCTTTAGATTCCACATAAAAGTGAAGTCACATGGTATTTGTTTTTGTCTGACTAATTTCACTTAGCATAATACCCTGTAGGTGTATCTATGTTGTCACACATGACAAGATTTCATTCTGGTTTTTTTGGGTATGTGCCCCTGGTGGAAACTGAACCCGGGACTCTCTGGTCCACAGGCTGACGCTCCAACCGCTGAGCCAAACCAGGCAGGGCAGATTTCATTCTTTTTTATGGTTGAATAATATTTCATTATACATATAAGTAAATATATACCACATCTTCTTTATTCAGGTGTCTACTGATGGACACTTAGTTTGCTTCCATACCCTGGCTATTGGAAATAATGCTGCAGTGAACATGGGGCTGCATGTCTTTTTATTTTTTTATTTTTATTTTTTTATCCTCATCCGAGGATATTTTTCCATTTTTTGTACAGATAGAGTATGGGAGGGAGAGAGAGGAAGGGAGAGAGAGAGAGAAACATCGACGTGAAGGGACACATCGAGTGGCTGCCACCCGCACGACCAACCAGGGCCGGGGACAAACCTGCATGTCTTTTTAAATTCTTTGCATAAATACCCAGAAGTGGGACTCCTGGGTCACATGGCAGTTCTCTTTTTTTAAATCCTCACCTGAGGATAGGTTTATTGGTTTTTTTTAGAGCGAGATGAAGGGAGAGAGAGAAACATCAATGTGAAAGAGTGACATGGATTGGCTGCCTCCCGTATGCACCCCAACCGGGATCAAACCCGCAACATTTTTTGGTGTACAGAACGATGCTCCAACCTACTGAGCCACCCTGCTGGAGCTGGTAGTTCTATTTTTAATTGTTTGAGGAACCTCCATACTGTATTCCACAGAGGCTGTACCAACAGTGCACAAGGGCTCCCTTTTCTTCACATCCTCACGCTTGTTTGTTGATTTGTTGATGACAGCCATTCTGACAGGGGTGAGGTGACATCTCATGTGGTTTTGATTTGCACTTCCCTGATGATCAGTGATGGTGAGCATCTTTTCATGTCCGTTGGCCATCTGGCTATCATCTTTGGAGAACAAGTATTCTTTGTTCATTTCCTCTCTGTCTTCCTGAGGGCCACAGTTGGGTCTGTCCTGTTCAATAATATATCCCCAGCACATACTACATGCTCCATAGATTTTTTGTTGAATGAATGAATGAATGGCGAGATAGAAGGGATTAAGTAGAGTAGCATATGCAAAGCAGTTGGCCCCTGGCAGGACCTCAAGATTAGTCCCACTTCCCTCCCTGGGCTTTAGGATGAAAGGATTTTACTTCTGCCCTATAAGCACTGTCACTCACAGCCTATGCTCCAAGGCAGCCCACACCCATTTATTGATGGAGGGGGCTTGGCACATATAGACCATGATGTACAGTAATGTAAACATTCCTGGATTCAGATCCTAGCTCAGACCTTTTCTTGTTCTATGTCCTTGAGCAAGTCATTTCCCCTCTCTGAACCTCAGTTCCCCATCTGTGAAAGGCATTAATGACACAACTTATCTTGTGGGTTTTTTGTGATAAATTAAACACATTTATCTCAGTGTGGTACATAGTTAGTACCCTATAAATGGGAGAAACTTTGAGCTGCTGATGTTAAGAATATGGGACTAGCTTTACTTCTTACTTAAAGAGGATGATGATTTTAAAAAATAAGAATCACCCAGCCGGTGTGGCTCAGTGGTTGAGCATCGACCCATGCGCCAAGAGGTCGTTGATTCGATTCCCGGTCAGGGCACATGCTCAGGTTGTGGGGCATGCAGGAGGCGACCAATTGATGTTCTCTCACATTGATGTTTCTCTCTAAAATCAATAAAGAAAAACTTTTTTTTTTCAAATCTTTATTGCACTTAGCATTAGGTTTTTTTTTTTCCCCCACATCTTTATTGTTGGATGTAAAATGTATTACAGATGTTCCACATTTTTCCCCCATTGACCCCCTCCTCCCCACTCCCGCCCCCCTCCCACCTTTTCCCAAACTATTGTCTGTGTCCATTGGTTATGCATATAAGTTCTTTGGTTTATTTCTTCCCACCCCCCCCCCAACCCCTTTCCCTTTGAGGTTTGTCAGTCTAGCAATGAATTTGTGCTTCTTAATCCCTTCACCTTTTTCACCCATTCCCCCACCCCCCTTCCCAACTGGCAACCAACAAAATGTTCTCTGTATCTATGAGAATGTTCATGTTCTTCCTGTTCATTTTGTTTGTAGATTCCATTGTTGATAGATATGTATTCATTGCCATTTTGTTTGTTCATACATTTTATCTTTTTCTTTAAAAAGACCCTTCATCATTTCATATAATAACGGTTTGGTAGTGATGAACGCCTTTAACTTTTTCTTGTCTGGGAAAGTTTTTATATGTCCATCGATTCTAAATGACAGCTTTGCAGGATAGAGTAATTTTGGTTGTAGGTTCTTGGTTTTCATCACTCTGAATATTTCATGCCACTCCCTTCTGGTCTGCAAAGTTTCTTTTGAGAAATCAGCTGACAGTCTTATGGGAACTCCCTTGTAGGTAATTATCTGCTTTTCTCTTGCTGCTTTTAAGAGTCTCTCTTTGTCTTGAACCTTTTGCATTTTGATGATGATGTGTCTTGGTGTGGGCCTCTTGGGGTTCATCTTGTTTGGGACTGTCTGTGCTTCCTGGACTTGTATGTCTGTTTCCTTCACCAAGTTAGGAAAGTTTCCTGCCATTATTGTTTCAAACAGGTTTTCGATTTCTTGTTCTCTCTCTTCTCCTTCTGGCACCCCCAAGATGCGAATGTTGGCACGCTTGAAGTTGTCCCAGAGGCTCCTTACACTATCCTCCTTTTTTTGGATTCTTTTTTCTTTTTGCTGTTCTGATTGGGGATTTTTTGCTTCCTTATATTCCAAATTGATGGTTTGCTCCTTGGATTATATTATTGAAGCTGTGTAAATTATTCTTTATTTCAGTTAATGCCTCCTTCAATTCTAACTGTGTATCCATGATTTCTAACTGGTCCTTTTTTATGCTCTTGAGGCTCTCCCTAAGTTCACTGAGGTTCTCACTAAGTTCATTGAGCATCCTCATAAGCAGCATTTTGAACTCAGTATCTGTTAGGTTGCTTATCTCCATTTCGCTTAGTTCTTTTATTGGGGTTTTGTTCTGTTCTTTCATTTGGGACCTGTTTCTCTGTCTCCTCATTTTGGCTGCCTCCCTGTGTTTGTTTCAGTGTATTGCTTAATGAGAGGTATGGGGCTCGCTGAGACCAGATGCTACTCGTTTGAAAGAATTCAGGAAAAACCTGAAGCAGGATCCAAGACAGGCCAATCCTATGGTTAAGCAAGTGGCAACAGCTTGGGTGGGCCTGAAAGTTGGGTGGGGCAGGGCGGGGCTACCAGTGTGAGTCAGGTTGCTGGAGTCCCAGATATGGCTTCTGTCTGCTGCCTCAGGGAAGGGCTCACCAAAGGAACAAAGGCCTCTGACAGCACGTTTGTCTCAGAGAAAGCCCCCTCTCCAGCCCTCGCTCCAGTGCCAAACAGCTCAGTTCTTCCCTGTATGTCTCTGGCGCCCCTCGAGCTGCCTCCCCTCCAAGCTTAGAGGGAGAGAGTCCGATAAGTCCGTGCGCCGGCCCTTTAGGGAGCTGCCTGGGGCTCCAGCCGCGTCAGCTTCCCTGAGCCTTAGTTTCCGCTGGTTTTTCCAGCCAGAAGTTATGGGGATTCTCTTCCTGGCACTGGAACCCTGAGCGGGGCACCTGGTGTGGGGCGGGGACCCCTCAGTCCTCAGGAAGGACCTTCCCAGCCGAGGTATCCTCCTGATTTTTATCCGCCACACTTGGGTGGGGGCCCGTCGCACTGCCCCGGCCCCTCGCGCCGCCGCCCCTCCTACCAGTCTGGATGTGGCTGCTGCTTTAATTCCGTAGCTGTAGGACTTCCATTCAGCTTGATTTCGGGCGGTTTTGAATGATGGTTGTTCTGTAGTTTAGTTGTAACTTTGATGTGGTTGTGGGAGGACGCGATACCGCGGTTACCTACGCCGCCATCTTGACCGGAGATCTCCGAAAAACATTTTTTTTAAATAAAATAAAAAATAACAATTGCTACCTTGGTCGGTTTGGCTCAGCGGTTTGAGCGTCGGCCTGCGGTCCGGAGAGACCCGGGTTCGGTTCCCGCTAAGGGCATGTACCTCAGTTGCAGTTTGTCCCCGGCCCTGGTTGGTCGTGCGGGTGGCAGCCACTCGATGTGTTCCTTTCAAGTCGATGTTTCTCTCTCTCTCTCTCTCTCTCTCTCTCTCTCTCTCTTTTCTCTCTCCCTCCCACTCTATCTGAACAGAAAATGGAAATATGACCTCGGGTGAGGATAAAAATAAATAAATAAAATAACAATCGTGCCCAATCAGTGTGGCTCAGTGGATTGAGCATCATCCCACGGAACCAGAGGTCGCAGTTCGATTCCTGGTCAGGGCACATGCCTGGGTTTCAGGCTTGATCCCCAGTAGGGGTCGTGCAAGAGGCAGCCAATTGATGTATCTCTCTCACATCGATGTTTCTCTCTCTCTCCCTTCCTCTCTTTCTCTAAAAAATCAATAAAAAACATATTTAAAAAAATAACCATCACTATGGTTAACCGTACTGAGAGGTCTCACTATGTGCCAGGCATTGTTCTAAGCACTTTATTTATGTGTGGTAGATTAAAGACAGCAACAAATTCTCTGCCACCCTGCTATTCAAAGCTGAAGTCTGTTTTCCTATCCTTCCCCAGGACTGGTCCAGTGACTTTTATTTTTTTATCCTCACCTGGGGACAGTTTTTTTCCATTTTTTGTTCAGACAGAGTAAGAGGGAGAGAGAGGAAGAGAGAGAGAGAGAGAGAAACATCGACGTGAAAGGGACACCGAGTGGCTGCTACTGGCACAACCCAACCAGGGCCAGGGACAAACTGCAACCGAGGTACACATCCTTAGTGGAACCTAACCCAGGTCTCTCTGGACCATAGGCTGACGCTCTGACTACTGAGCCAAACCGGCCAGGGCTCCAGTGACTTTTTGACCAACAGAATGGAGCAGAATGACACTGTAACTTCTGATGTTGAGCCTTTATAGACTGCAGCTTCTGCCATGGTATAAGGGAATGTTTGCTCTGGGGGGTGCCGGTCACTATGCACTATGTTAAGCAGTTCAACAACCTTGAGCCACCATGCTGTGAGGATGCCCAAGCCATAAGTGACATATGAGTGAAGTCTTTCTTGGACTTTTTCATCCAGCCTGGACATCAGATGAATACAGCTGAGTGACCCCAGCTTACACTACGGGGGGCAGAAGAAACACCCTGCTGGGCCCTGTCCAAATTCCAGACCCAGATATAACATACTTTTGGTGTTTTAAGTCACTAAGTTCTAGAATGGCTTGTTATGCAGCATTAGCTAACTGACACAGTAAATAAAATAATTTAACCTTCATGGCAACTCTAGGAGTAAAACTATTCGCATCTGTGTTTAAGGAACTTGTCCCAGGTCACATAGCTAGCAAGTGGGAGAGCCAGGATTCAAACCCAGGAAGCCTTGCTCCAGGGTTTATACCTGTCAACACAATGCTAGAAATATATCTCACCAGGTATGAAGCCACAGGGAGTATAAATGCTGACCAGGGTCAGGCAGGAGTTTAATCAGTTGCCATTCATTCATTCCACAAAAGTGGATTGAGTCATCCTATGTGCCAGACACTCGGAGACAGAGCTGTGAAAAGACAGACAACTTCTGCCTTCAAGGAGCTGATGTTCATGATAAACAAACGATTGTATAACGTGACAGTGTAAGAAAAACAGCAGCCAGAGGAGGAAAGGCATCAATAGGATGGTTTATTGTTTGCTATTTTAAACATGGAAATCATGAAGGGCTTCTCAGAGGAGGTAATGTTTCAGCAGGACCAGAAGGCAGTAAAGGAGCAAGTTGTGTAGCTTGTTCACAATTCAGAGGGAACAGCCAGTGCAAAGACCAGTGTGTGCTGGTAACTATTAAGCTAGGTTGGAGAAGAAAGCTCTTACAAGGTAGAAAGGCTTCATTTGAAAACTAGACATCTTTGTCAGCTGGTGTGGCTCAGTGGACTAAGCATTGTCCATGGACTGAGAGTTCCCGGTTCGATTCTTGATCGGGGTACATGCCTGGGTTGCGGGCACAATCCCCAGTAGGGGACGAGCAGGAGGCAGCCAGTCGATGTTTCTCTCACATCAATGTTTCTATCTCTCTCTCTCTAAAAAAATCAATAAAGAAAAAAAATGTTAAAAGTAAATAAATAAATATAAAAACTAGCACTCTTTCTGACACATGGGGGAACCACCATGGCCAGCTGGGTACATGTCCTGCTAGACATTTTTCTGCTTTTAAAACTTACACAGGTGCATATTGTTTGCTGTCCTTTTTAGTTTTTTAAAAAAGATCATATTGTGTTCTATGTAGTGTTCTGCAATTACCTTTTAAATGTTTACATTGCATCTTTAAACATTTCCACATGTTAGCCACATAGATCTATAGTAAAAATGTGGACTGTGGAGCCAGCCTGCCTGGGTTCAAATCCTGGCTCCAATGTGTTGCATGCTGTGTGACCTGGGCCAAGAAATTTAACCTCTCTGGGCTTCAATTTCTCATCTGCAAAAATAGCATCCAACTGATAGAATCAGTAGAATCGCTGTGAGGATTTACTGAAACTCTTGGAACAGTACCTGGCATGCAGTGATCATGCAACATAAATGAACTGTTACTGTCCCATTTTTTTTTTTTTTTAACAGCTTTATTGAGGTAAAATTGACATGCAATGAACTGCACACATTTAAAGTGTACAATCGGACACAAATTGACCTATGTCTACACCTGTAAAGCCATCACCATCATTAAGATATGAACATTTTCGCCCTGGCCGGTTTGGCTCAGCGGTTAGAACGTCGGCCTGCGGTCCGGAGAGACCCGGGTTCGGTTCCCGCTAAGGGCATGTACCTCGGTTGCAGTTTGTCCCCAGCCCTGGTTGGTCGTGCGGGTGGCAGCCACTCGATGTGTCCCTTTCACATCGATGTTTCCCTCTCTCTCTCTCTTCCTCTCTCTCCCTCCCACTCTATCTGAACAAAAATTGGAAAAATGTCCTCGGGTGAAGATAAAAAAAAAAAAAAAAAAAAAAGATATGAACATTTTCATCAACCTCCAAAATTTCCATATATCCTTTATGATGCCCCCCTTCGGCCCCTCAGTAGGCAACCACTGATCTGCTTTCAGTCCCTATGAATACATTTGCATTTTCTAGGGTTTTCTAGAAATGGAATCTTTTAGCATGTATTCCCTTTTGTTTCATACCAGTCATGTAAATTACCATGAGTCTTGGACTCCATCCAGACATACATAAGTGTTCCCCAAAACACGCAGTCTTCCTTGAATAATCAAAACCTCAGCTTCTGCCCTGGCTGGTGTGGCTCAGTTGGTTGAGAGTCATCCTGTACACCGAAAAGTTTTGGGTTCAATTACTGGTCAGGACACATGCCCAGGTTTCAGGTTTGGTCCCCGGTCAAGCATGTGCAGGAGGCAACTGATTGATGTTTCTCTCTCACATCAATGTTTTTTGTTTTTTTTCCTCTCTCTCCCTTCTCTCTCTAAAAATAAAATAAAAATCAATTTAAAAATCCCCTCAACTTCTGCTTTACTCTGAAACACAGGACATATTCACTGCTCTTTCACATACTTATCAAACACTGTTCTAAGCTCTTTGCAAATATTAACTCATATCATCTTCAGGACAGCTCATAAGGCAGGGACCATTATATTGCATCCATTTTACAGATGAGGAAACTGAGACTTGGAGATATTGAATGTCTTGACCAAGATCACAGTCAGGTTTAGACCCAGGTCTGCTCCAAAGTCCTTGACCTCAATCCCTCCACTCTGCTGCCCCCTCTTCAGTGTCCACTTGACTCTCTACCTGCTGCTGGTTAAGAGCTGTGTGCTAGACCCTTAAATGCCACCCTCCCTCTTTGGGTCAAGAACAAAACATCCTGAAGGCCACTGCCCCTGAGTGAAGGGATTCTAGATGCTACCAAGCTGCTCACTGTTGGCAGAGACAGCACTTACGTTGTCATGGCTGAGCATCACTCCTTTGGGGTTGCCCATGGTCCCGGAAGTGTAGATGAGCACAGCACACTGATTGGCCTTCTGGCTCGCGATGATTTGGTCCAGCTGGGAATTGGAGATGCTACTGCCAAGTTCCATGAAATCGTCCCACTTAGGAAAGAGAAGATAAGCAAAAGGTCTCAGGGAGTATGAGAAGTGACCTCAGAATGCCAGGCATTCCCTTTCCCCAATCAGATCTTGTCCCATCAGCTTCTTCTAAAGCATAATTTTTAGCAAGAGGAAAGGTTTAATTAGGATCGCCAGTCCTGGTTCCTCTTACAAAAGCTGTTGTTTCAACTGGAGGGCGCTACTGGTGTCCCGTGGGTGGAGACCAGGGATGCCGCTCAACGTCCTACAGGGCACTATTATCTGCTTCTGGTTCCTGCACTCCTGGCAGGCCACATAAGCTCCCTGTGCCTCAGTTTCCTCATTTGTAAGATGAGAATGATATCAGAACCCAACTCCTTCGGTTGTGCTAAGCAATAAATGAGTTAATATAAGTAAAACGCTTAGAAAATGGAGTTCAATATTATTTGATCTCTGCCTTCCCAGATTCCACTTTGAACCCCAAATTTCTCAGTGACCAGATTGATGGGGCCAACTCCAACCCCAATTCCAGAGGTCATCCCTAATTGGTTTAAAGCAAAGGGTTCCATTATGTGGGCCACATGTTTGGATCGGGTCTGGACATGTGACCTCAAATGGTTTAATCACAGTGAAAGCCAGGGCTTTTGCTGGAAGTACTATGTGGACAAGAATAAGGCAAAATGTAGCCCTAGTTTGGCTCAGTGGTTAAAGCGTCTGCCCCAAGGACTGAAGGGTCTCCGGTCAAGGGTTGCAGGTTCAATCCCTGGCCCCAGTCAAAGTTCTGTGGGAGGAAACCAATCAATGTGTCTCTCTTGCATGGATGTTTCTCTTTCTCTCTCTCTCTCTCTCCCCCTCCCCCACTCCTTCCTTTCCACTCTATCTAAAAATCAATGGAATAATATCTCCCAGTGAGGATTAACAACAACAAAGAAATGTAGCCCTAGGAACTGCTGGACCATCTCAGGACTATAGGGAAAGCCAGGCTGGAGTGGAGTCAAGGAACCAAGAGGGCAAAATGGAGCTGGGTCACATTTGAGCCCCTAGTTCTAGTCATGCCTGAAATCCACACCTTGAGTTGTAGTTACATGAGTCAACAAAGTACCTTCTTGCTTAAGCTGTACCCTTTATACCAAAAAGAAAATAAAACAAAAATTTTAAAAGCCTCTCAAAGCCCTGTCCATTTCCCTTATGGAGCCTGGCCCTCTCTCTTGCTCACTATCCACTTCCTTTGAGAGTCTCCGCCCACATCTGTTGTGAGGCCCCGCCCATCCCCTTTCTCTCTGCTCCCTCCCACACTTACAGAGTACAGGTTGTTTTTATTGTTCTCATTCATTGGCAGCTTGTATTGGATAATCGCTTTTAGGGTCTCCAACTTGTCCTGTGGAATCTGAAAGAAAGTGCAGCATGGACCTCATGGCAACCCAGCCCTGGGAAAAACAAGCTGGGTGGGTGTCCTAAGTTCTCTCCTACCACAACCTCAGTCTCTTCTTATTCCTCTCTTTTCTGTGAAACGTTGCTCCTTGTCTTGACTGATTTTAGGACTTCTGAGTTCTTTGTGGCTGGTATTACCAACAATCAAAGGTGAATGAAGACAGCAGCCTGCCTGAGACAGCATGTCTCAGGCTGAGTTCTGCGGCCGAGTTGTTGAGCTGGCTGCTTGCACTATGCAGCCAGGATTCAGCGAATATTCTTGTTGGAGTCAGGCCACAAAAATCTTCCCTGAAGGGGCTGGGACCTGGACAGGTCCAGAACTCTCTAGCTATACCTAGAACTGTAAAGTTCAGGTGACCAGACCTGTGGGATGCTTGTACCCTGCATTGTTGCCAGCCAATCCAATGAGAAAGTTATTTCCAATGTTCATTGTGCTCATTGTAATTATAGCCATAGTGCTGATATGGATTGGAGAGAAAAGATGACAGAAGTGCTTGTAACAGCCGGACAGGAGCTTTCCAGAGCAAAAAACAGACATCCAAACACCAGGAGCAGGCAGTAGCCTGGGACGTTTGAGGAGGAGAAGAGTTTGGGAAGGCTGGACTGTGGACAGGAGGGAGACTAGGGGAGGAGGCAGGAGAGAATGCTGAGAGCCAGGAGTGGGCCACCTTGGAGGCAACCGTGAGGAGTTTGGGGTTTATTCTCAAGGAGGCAAGGTAGCACTGGGGAGTTGGAGGGTTATAAACCATAAGTATTGCCCAGAATTAACCAGTGAAGCTGAGCATACAGTTGGGGAAAAGCTTGTCAAGAGCCTGGCTTCGAATCTTCCATACAGAGCAACCAGAACCACGAACCCCCACAAGCAGTACTTTCGGTCCAACTATGACATAGAAATGACTCAGGTATTGCTTTATGAGTGTGAGGTCAAATATACTAGAAGTGAGACAGGAAGCCATAGTAGTGAAGTTGGGGCAGAGGGAAAGGTGAGGGGCGTGGTGTTTTTTAATGGGAAAAACCCAAATCATAAGCCAGTATTCGTGGCAAGAATGAGAAGCACCTCACTCGTCACCCGTCACCTGTCCCACCCCCCACCCCCATGTGTTCTGCTGTGAACAGAGCGAGCAGGGCCTGGCGTGAGTACCAGGGACCACAGAAGCACCATGTGAAAAAGCAGTTTCAAAACAGCTCAAGGCTGGAGGCAGAAGTCTGTCCTTCCGGAACCAGGTCAGGAATTGTGTGCCGAAGGAGGCTTGGTGGCACGTGTTTTATTTCACTGAGTCCAGCCAGGATTTCAGTGAGTATGAAAAATGTGCCCTGATTTCAGAGATGTTAAAATGTGGGGAAACAGCTGGCCAATGATGACCCAAGAGGATAACATTGATGGCAAGACACAGCTCCAGAGACGTTAAGAAATGGGCAACTCAGAAGTGATGAACGATTAAAAAACAATCCTAGGGGCCCATAGGCTGAGCGTTGGATCTGGTCACCTAGGCTCACCCCTCCTCCGAACTCCTCTCCCCTTAGGATCTTCCTGCCAAAAACTGGTTTGGGAAACTGCAGCTCATTGAACACAAAGAATCAGAAAAGTTTCTGCAGTATTCATACAAAGATACTGCAAGGAAAAATGAAAATGAGAGGAGCCACACTTCACAAAGTCACCACAAAGCAAAGAAAAATGACCACCCAACATTCCAGTATAAAACTTAAAGCACAATGAAGTAAACGCAGCTGGGAAGGAAGAACACAGAGCACACATACAAGGGAAGAGAGGGCCAGACACCGGAGAGAAGCAGAACGGGAGGTGGTAGAACTGAGGAAAGGAGGAGAAGGAGCCCTGGCCAGTTTGGCTCAGCGGTTACAGCGTCGGCCTGTGGTCCCGCTAAGGGCACGTACCTCGGTTGCAGTTTGTCCCCGGCCCTGGTTAGTCGTGCGGGTGGCAGCCACTTGATGTGTCCCTTTCACGTCGAGGTTTCTCTCTCTCTCCCTCTCTTCCTCTCTCTCCCCCCAACTCTATCTGAACAAAAAATGGAAAAGTGTCCTTGAGTGAGGATAAAAAAAAAAAAAAAAAAGAAGCAGAAGGAAAAGACAAAAGTACTGCAGAAATGCAGACAGTTATAAGAAGTGAAGACAATGACAAGGCTCAGAAGAACCACACTTCTGAAAGAAAAATAGCAGGGGACTGTATATAAAATTATGCATAAAACATTTTTTAAATGGAGGCTGAATAGGAAATTAAAGTTACTGTGAAATGGAAATTAAACTCCCCTAATCCACCCTGCTCCCCACAAAGGCAGCTTTGCCAATTATGCTGAAGTGGCAGAGACTCTTACTGGCCCTGTGCATGTGGCCAGCCCCAGCACCCCACCTGATCATTAGTATCTACTCGGGAGCACAGAGACCTGGTCAGAGCCCTGAGGTCCCTGGGAGACTGGCAGGCAGTGCTGGGTAGGAGTTTACCGAAAGGATTTTCTGTAGCTGTAGGTCATTTTCAACCAGTAGGATGTTCACTTTGGAGTGAGCAATGACGTACTGACAAGCCTCCGCAGAGTTGGTGGCATAAATACCAACACAGAGGCCCCTGGGAAAAGAAAACACACATGCCTGTTACGTGCACGTGTTGGGGGTGGGGGTGTGTTAGATGGTGGAGGCGGGGGTGGAGGCGAGGGGAAGGGCCTGCAGCCAAGTTCTGAGCTGGCAGCCCTGGCAAAATCTTCCCTCCCTCCACAACTTAATAGTAACAAAAACAACAAAAATGGTAATGATGATGAAAGCAGCAATTCCTGTGATGTCATTATGACATGGGGTCACGGAACTCCCACAACACCCCATTTTATAGATGAGGAAAGTGAAAGTCAGGGCAGTGGAGTCACTGTTCAGAGTGCCATGGAAAAGAATAAATGCCAGAGATGGGATCTGGACACCACCCCTGCCCCAGGCACCTGTTCCCTCCACCAGAAGCCTTCGTGCTTGCTTTGAACCATCCTGTCCTGCGTGAGGTGGTTCTCATTTGCATTTCCCCGATGGCTGGTGACATGAGCACCTCTCAACTGCTTATGGCCTACTTCGCTTTGTGACATTTCTTGTTCAAGTCTTTGGCCCATTTAAAAACTTTTTGTCGCCCTGGCCGGTTTGGCTCAGCGGTTAGAGTGTGGGCCAACAGACCAGAGAGTCCTGGATTCGGTTCTCGCTAAGGGCACATACCTCAGTTGCAGTTTGTCCCTGGCCCCGGTTGGGGTCGTGTAGGTGGCAACCACTCGATGTTTCTCTCTCTTTCTTCCTTCCTCTCTCCCTCCTGCTCTATCTGAAGATAAATGCAAATGTCCTCGGGTGAGGATAAAAAAAAATCTTTTACTGAGTTCTAGAGGTACCTTCTATATTCGAGGTATCAGTCCTTCTATACTTGAGATACCAATCCTTTGTCAGGTTAATTGGTTCGTGTGTCTGTCTCCCCTGCCCGCCTGGGCTGCGGCTGAACTGCCCACTCACGTCTCAGTCGGAACTGAGCCAGGGCTGCCAGGTCAACACTGACAGGGCGCCGCCCATGGTCTTACCCTGCGAGGATGGCACCAAGAGAAGCAATAAACCACTCCACGGAGTTAAACCCCAGGATGCCGACTCCGTGGAACCGCTCCAAGCCCAGCTGGGGAGGCAAAAACAAACACACAGGAATGGAAACATGAAACTGTTTCGCTTCTGGTGGAATGAGCTCAGTGCATGGGGAAAAGTCAGTGTTGAGGCGAACATCTGGGTGTGAGATTTTCGTGACTATTGGGAGACTGGTTTGCCTCCCTCAGCATAATACCCCCTTGATTTATTTTTACTTTTAAGTGTTTCATTTTTATTGTAGTAAACTACTTATAGCATGAATATACCATTTTAGCCAATTTTGTGTGTACAATTCAGTAGCATTAAGTACACTCATGTTGTGTGACCAATCCCACCATCCATCTCCAGAACTTTCTGATCTTCCCAAACTGGAGCTCTGTCCCCACTACACACTAACTCCCCAGCCCTCTCCCCCAGCCCCTGGCTCCCACCATCTACTTCTTGTCTCTATGAACTTGACTCCTCTAGGGACCTCATATAAGTGGAATCGCACAGTATTCGTCCTGTGACTGGCTTATTTCACTGAGCATAATGTCCTCAAGGTTCATTCATGTTGTAGCTGATGTCAGAACTTCCTTCCTTGTAAAGGCTGAATAATATTCCATTGTCTGATGGACCACATGGTGTTTATCCATCATCTGTTGATGGACACTTGGGCTGCTTCCACTTTTGGGCCATTGTGAATAATGTTGCTGTGAGCATTACCTGTGTGCACATACCTGTTTGAGTCTTTGCTTTGAATTCTTTTGGGTATATAGCCAGAAGTGGAATTGCTGAGTCATATGGTATTCAAAGTTTAATTTTTTGAGGAATGGCCATACTGTTTTTCACAGTGGCTTCTCCATTCTACATCCCCAATGGCAACGCATGAAGTTTCTGTTTCTGCACATCCTCACCAACACTTGCTATTTTCTGTTCTTTTTTTTTTTTAAGAATAAATATTCTGATGGGTGTAAATTTATTTTTATTTTTAATATCAAAAGTACTACTCAAAGAGTGATACCCTATAGAAGTGATAAATTGAACTTTTAAAGACACAGCCTTGGTTCATCCCTGACCCAATGGGTCGCGCGGGAGGCAACCAGTCAGTGTGGCTCCATCATGTCAATATTTCTCTCTCTCTCTATCCCTCCCTCCCACTCCATCTAATGATAAATGGAAAAATATCCTCAGGTGAGGGGGGAAAAAAGTTAAAGATGCAGCCTTGGTCTGAATGTGGTTGAGGATGAACCAGGAAACCTGGACTTGAAGGTGACCATCCTTGGAGTTACCCCTTTGGTTTGGGGTAACTCCAACTTTGTTGGCTCTTTTAGTCATATGGGCAAGGCTGGCAGTGGTTTCTGCTCTTAGGGAAAACGTAAGCATTTGGAAAGCAATGCTAAGTGTTTCTGCTTTGAGACAAAAAGGCTGTCCTCATTGTGGAAGTGTGTCTCTATCATTGTAGATAAACTGCTATGTTCTTAGTGGATCCCTGAAGTTTGGAGAGTAGAGGGTGCTTGAGCTCCCTCTAAGGGCATAGCTAACAAGGATCGCCTTTCTGGAGAGGTGACCCAACCATAACACTATGGCACTGGGCGGAGAAGCCAAAATAAAACCCAGCCAAGCACATGGTTCTTAATTGTGACATCTCACGGTCTTTCGATGAAGACACATGGGCATCAGAGGAGGGAAGAGAGAAACTGGGATCTAGGTCAAAATGTGGCCCGATTTCCTATATATCAAAACCACCAACAGATACCCTTCTGCAGTGGGAGATACCTAATATATTTGTTGTCTATTGCTGCATGACACATTACGACAAATACAGCCAGCACACATTTATTACCACAGCTCAGGAGGTGGGGGCAGTCTAACTGGGTCCTCTGCTTAGGATCTCCCATAGCTGCAATGAAGGCCTCAGTGGGGACTGTGGCCTCCTCTGAAGCATGAAATCCTCTCCCACACTCACAGATTGTTTGTAGAATTTATTTCCTAGTGGTTGAATGAATGAGGGTCCTGTTTCCTTGGTAGCTGTTAGCTGGGGATGGATCTCAACTCCAAGAGGCTGTATGCATGCACTGCCCCATGGCCCTGTCCACAACACAGCAGTTGCTTCCTCAAGGCCAGCAGGAGAATCTCTCCTTTAGTGTTTCACCTGATTAGGTCAGGCCCACCCTGAGCATTTGTCCTTTTGATGAACTCAAAGTCAAATGATTAGGGATCTTAATAACATCTGCTAAATCTCTTCACCATTGCTACCACAGAAGGGAAAATCCTTCATAGTCAAAAGTCCTGCCATACTCAAGGAGAGGAGAGTATTAGCATGAATATACCAGGGGTTGGGAATCTCAGGATCATCTTATAATTCTGCCTCACATGCCTAATAATCTGGCCAAGATGAACATTTTTTATAATATGATGTTGGCAAGAATATAAGCAAGAAGATTCTCTCATTCATTTGAGTGGGCATTCATGGGGCACCTCTGTGTAAGACTTCATTGTACAAAGGAGCTGCCCTGTGGCACAATGTATGGTAGCAAAAGGCTGGAAACAACTTAAATGCCCACCAGTGGGGGACATAATTACAGTTGTTGAAAAGAACATGGATTTTTAAAAAAATGAATCAATATGAAAGGATCTCAGAGGTGGGAGCCAGCCTTTGAGATGCCCCTCAATGACCCTCATCTCCTGGTATTTGTGTTCTTGCACAATTTCCCCCTCAATGCATCATGGTTGGTCTATGTAACCAATAGAATATGGAAGAAGTGACAGTATGTCTCAGTTGCTGAGATTAGGTTATAAAAGATATCATGGTTTCCATTTTGTTCATGCTGTCTTTGGATCACTCATTCTGGAGGAAGCTGGCTGCCATATTATGAAAATACTCCAAAGATACCCTATGGGGAAAGCCATGGACCAAGGAACCGAGGCCTCCTGCCAATAGCCAGCTTAGAGGCGAACCCTCCAGCCCCAGTCAAGCCTTCAGATGATGCAGCCCAGGCTGACAGCTTGACTGCAACTCATGGGAGACCCTGAACCAGAAGTATACAACTAAGCCTCTCCTGGATTTGTGACCCACAGAAACTGAGATAATAAATGTTTGTCTTTTTAAGTCACTAAATTTAGGGGTGATTTGTTATGCAGCAGTAGCTAACTAATACATAGAGATACTATTCTAAGGGGAAAAACAAGGTGCAGAATCATGAGTAGAGTATGCTACCATGTGTGTAAAAATTTGCATATACAGAAATTATGTCATATATACACATAATATATTCCCAAAATAACTAGCAATGGTGGCTGCCTGCGTACAGAAGGGGTCAAGAATTAAAGGGAAAATTTTTACCAGTTACCCTTCGTGTCTTGTGGTGCCTTGTGCATTTTGTACCATATGTATGTTTATGTATTTCCTATTCTGAATGAATGATTGAATAAGTGATAAGGAAGAAAGGAAGGAAGGGAGGGAGGGACAGAAGGGAGGAAGAATGAATGAATCACTCACCTTGATCAAGGCTTTCGCAGCCTTCCGACAAGCCTCGTAGTACTGGTTGAAATTCAGTGTTTCCCATTTTTTGCTGTTCTTTGATGCGAGGGCTGGATAAGTACCAAATCTACTGACTGTCTCCCGAAAAAATTCAGGAATGGTTATGGGGACCTCATGGCCTGGCCCATGGTTTGATAGCCTCAGAATGACTTCTCCATCTGCATGGATGGTCCACAGTCCGGAATTAGGTGGTACTATGTCTGAAAAAATAATGCACGTACCTTAATTTAAAAACAATTTAATCCTAAAAACAAAAACAAACAAACAAAAAACAGTTAACCATTATGTAAGCCTGTTGGAAAAATGGTGCTCAGAGGCTTGCTCAAAGCAGGATTGCCACAAACCTTCAATTTGTAAAAAATGCACTATCTACAAAGTGTAATAAAATGAGGCAGAATAAAACGAGGTATGCCTGTGCTCTAGACTGGGTGGCTGAAACAACAGAAGTTTATTCTCTCCCAGTTCTGGAGACAAAAAGTCCAAGGTCAAGGTGTCAGCTAGTTGGTCCCTCAGGAGGTCATGAGGGAGAATCTGTTCCATTCTCTTCCCCACCCTCTGGTGACTTGCTGACAATCTTTGGAGTTCCTTGGCTTATAGAAGTATCACCCCAGTTTCTGCCTTTATCTTCACGTGGTGTTCTCCCTGTGTGAGAGTCTGTGTCCAAGTTTCCCCTTTTTATCAGGACACCAGTCAGATTAGATTAAGACCCATCCTGCACAGCCAGTGTGCCTCACTGGTTGAGCGTCAACCCATGCACCAAGAGGTCGCCAGTTTGATTCCCAGTCAGGGCACATGCCCAGGTTGTGCTCCCAATCCCCAGTGGGGGGCATGCAGGAAGCGGCCAGTTGATGTTCTCTCTCATCGATGTTTCTATCTCTCCCTCTCCCTTCCACTCTTACTAAAATCAATAAAGAAAAAAATATTAAAAAAAAAAAAGACCCATCCTATCTGCAATGACCCTATTTACAAATTAGGTCACATTCTGAAGTACTAGGTAACTGTCAGGACTGCAACCTATGAATTTGGGGGGATGTCTTAGTCCATTTGGGCTGCTATTACAAAATATCATAAACTGGGTCATTTAGAAACAACAGACACTTATTTCGCACAGTTCTGGAAGCTGGAAAGTCAAAGGTCAAATCTCCAACAGATCGGTGTCCCTGCCCCCGGGTTCATAGACGTTGTCTTCTTGCTGTGTCCTCACATGACGGAAGGGGTGAGAGAGCTCCCCGGGGCCTCTGTTATCAGAGCACTAGTTCATTCAGGAGGGCTCCACCCTCATGATCTCTTTCCCTCTCAAAGGCCCCCCTTCTAACACCATCACATTGTGGGGGGATAGGTTTCAACATATTAATGGGGGGGATGCAAACATTTGGACCATAGCAGGGGGTTGCAACTCAACCCATAACAACATACATGAAAGGAAGGCTAGTTCAGAGAGCCCCCCGGCCCCCCGGCCCCCCACTCCCCCTGCAAGGAGAATCAGCAGTGGGAGTCTCACCAGCTTACAACACAATCACCTAGTGGGGCCAGGGCATCGTGAGGAGAACATCACCTCGCAAATGGAAGCTCAGCCCATCATGCCTCCCTCGTCCCCACTGCTCCAGGCATCCAGACAGAAACCAAGGATGGGGAGAAGCTTTAAACTGGTCAAAGATGTGGAGGGGTGTCACCTGGACACAGGTGAGGATATTTTAATGACTGTAGTGGGTTGAACAGTGTTCCCTCAACGTTCGTGTACAGAATCTCAGAATGTGACCTTATTCGGAAATAGGGTCTTTGCAGGTGAAGTCAGTTGAGGATCTCAAGATGAAATCATCCTGGATTGAGGGTGGGCCCTAAATCCAATGACTGGTGTCCTTATAAGAAGAGGAGAGGGCATAGAAATGCACAGAGTAGACAGCCACGCGAAGACAGAGGCAGAAACTGAAGTGATGAGGGTGAAGCCCAAGGAACGCCAAGGATTGCCGGCAGCCACCAGCAGCCTGGAAGAGTCTTCGTCATGGCCTCCAGGAGGAAGCACCACGCCTGACACCTTGATTTTTGGACTTCTGGCCTCCAGAACGGGGAGGCAAACATTTCTGTTGTTTCAGCCACCCAGTCTGGGGTGCTTTATTATGGCAGTCCCAGAAATCTAACACAATGACCCAAATGAGATTTTGAAGATGATTAATTTTGAGAATGACTGTGAAAGTCATCCTTGGAGAGGGCAGCTGTGAATGAAGGCACTTTACCATCACAAGGTGCTCCCTGAGTTGTCTGAAAATGGTTACAACATAATGATAACAAACCATTATTACTACATCTGCACTCTATATATACTGTTACATATACACTATATATCTGCACTATATATAGTATAACATCTTCACTATATATACAGGGGTGGGCAAAAGTAAATTTATTGATGACAATAAAGAACTCTGTTGCCCTGGCTAGTTTTGCTCAGTGGTTAGAGCATCAGCCCGAGGACTGAAGAGTCTTGGGTTTGATTCCTGGTCAAGGGCACATACCTCAGTTGTGGATTCGATTCCTGGCCCTAGGTTGTACAGGAGGCAACCAATCAATATGTCTCTCTCACATTGATGTTTCTCTCTCTCTCTCCCTCCCTCCCTCTCTTCTTATCTGGAAAAATCAATGGAAAAATATCCTCCGGTGAGGATTTAAAAAAAAAAGAACTCTGTGCCAAAGTGTGCTTCAGTGAAGCAAGTAGATTACAAGAATGTGTAAATAATGAAGGCTGGCAATTTTAACACTTACGAGATTGTACCTAAGTGCACTGTGCCATTGTGACATCCTTTTGAATTAATAAAGCTATTGTACTAAACATAACCATATGAACTACTATAAACCTGCTTTTGCCAACTCCTGTATTACATCTGCACTATATATTTTACATCTGCACTATATATATTATATCTGCACTATATGTATGTATATATGTACAATTATATCCATGTCATATATATTATTACATCTGCATTATATATGTGTATAATTACATCTGCCCTTTATATATATTACAACTGTGCCATATATATACAAATACATTTACACTACATATATATTACATCTGCATTATATATATAATTACATATGCTGTATTTATGGTTCCTCCCACACAGACTCACCTCCTAACAGGAAGGTTCTATTGTCAATACTGCTGTGATACAAACAATAGAAATGAGGCTCTGAAATCACAAGCCTGCACTCCCTGTTAGTGGTAGAGAACCCCACTCCCACCCCCACTCCCCAGGGCTCAGGCACAGAATGGCTGTCTCCTGACTCTCTGAAACCAGGCTCACTTAGGAAAAGCCTTGGCTTAGTCAGTACACTTTTCTCTCCCACAACATGCCTTTTGTTTTACTCATGTCTACTTCAAGGTCCTCAGCCTCCTCTTCTTGAATCGTTGGGTTTCAGCCCTTCCAGGTCCACAGAGACCATTCTTCACAGTACTGCAAGGCACAAAGCAGGCAACTTAGTAGGACAGGCAAAGAGCCTGCAGGGCTGAGGCCAACTCCCATCCACTGGTCATGTCTGCCTGGAATTCCAGGTCATCAGTCCTGACTGCTCTGGGCCTAAGAGGAAAGGAGGGTGGCACACCTGTTAGATCACAGAGCGACCGTGAAGTCCAGAGAGTGTTCCATCTGTGAGCTTCCTGAAGTCTCTGAAACGGTGGAATATAGGTGTCAAGTCTATAGGTGATCCTGTGGGTACAAAAACATTTTGAAGCAACTCCACCCTACCTCCCTGCGGTATATCCATACAATGGACCTCAGCAACAAAGAGCAATGAACTATTGATCCAACGATTTGAGTGAGTCTCAAAGGCATTGCACTGAGTGGAAGAAGACAGATTCAAAAGACCACACGCTTTATGATTTCATTTATGTCACTTTCTGGAAAAGGCAAAACTATAGTGATGGAGAACAGTCTGAGGTTGCCAGGGTCTGTGGTAGGAAGAGGGGTTGACTATGAAGGGGAAACACGAGAGAATCTGGGGGGGGGGGGGTGATGGAAACGTACTCTATCTGACCGTGTTGGTGGTTACATGACTATGCATTTGTCAAACCTCACAGAACTGCACACCAAGAAAAGGGAATGCTCCTATATGTGGAAAACGTGTACTCTATGTTTTAAAATGGACAATTTAAAAATATTGAAGGGTAAAAGACTGGAGGAAATGCAGACATCCAGCAACAGGAGACTGGTAACATGCACTGCGGAGCCCTCATGTGGTGAAGTAGTCTCCATCTGTGGGAAAACACCAGCAATGCACACCCACGTTCACAGCAGCACAGCTCACAATGCCCAAACACCCATCAGTGGATAAACAGCTGGCAGAATGTGGTCCATGCACACAGTGGAATATTATTCAGCCTTAACAAGGAAGGAAATTCTGACACTCACTACAACATGGAAGGACCTGAGGACACGCTGCTCAGTGAGAGAAGCCAGAGACAAGAGGCCACATATTGTGGGATTCCATTCACATGAAATGTCCAGAACAAGAAAATCCACAGAGACAGAAGGTAGATTAATGATTACCAAGGCCTAGGGGTGGGGTGGGGAGTGACTGTTTCCTTTGGGGGATGATAAAAATGTTTTGAAACTAAGTAGAGGTGATGGTGGCACAAGGTTGTGAAAGTACCAAAAACCAGAGAACTGTTCACTTTAAAATGGTTAATTTTAGCCCTGGCTGGTTTGACTCAGAGGTTAGAGCATCAGCCATGGTCCAAAGAGTATCAGGTTCGATTCCAGTTAAGGGCACAAACCTCAGTTGCGGTTCATCCCCAGCCCTTGTCAGGGTCGTGCTGGAGGCAACCAATTGATGTGTCTCTCTCACGTCGATGTTTCTCTCTCTTTCCCCCTCCCACTCTGTCTGAAAATAAATAGAAAACTATCCTCAGGTGAGGATTTAAAAATAAATAAATACTGGGCCGGTGTGGTTCAGTGGTTGAGCATCAACCCATGCACCAAGAGGTCACCAGTTCAATTCCCAGTCAGGGCACATGCCCGGGTTGTGGGCCTGATCCTCCGTGGGGGGCATGCAGGAGACAGCTAATCAATGTTCTCTCTCATCGATGTTTCTATTTATTGCTCCCTCTCCCTTCATGTCTCTCTAAATTCAATAAAGAAAAATAAAAAATAAATAAAAGTAAAATCAATCAATAAAAAAATGGTTAATTTTATATTATGTGAATCTCACCTCAATTTTTATTTTTTTTAAAACTTACCTTTATTGTTGAATGTATTACAGATGTCCCCCCTTTTCCTCCATTGACCCCTTCCTCCCCAATACCACTTCCCTCCTGCCTTCCCCACACTATTGTTTGTGTCTATTGGTTATGCATATATGCATAGAAGTTCTTTGGTGTATCTCTCCCCGCCTTCCCTCCCCCTTTCCCTCTGAGGTGGGAAGCAGCATGGCATGTTTGAGATGCAGAAGGCTGAAGCAGCATGTCTGGTGTCTGGGGAGAGAGGGCATATGGAGACAAAGAAATACAAAGACAGTCCCACCTCATGACACACCCCCTCATCTCCTTAGCTCCAGCTATTTGGACCATGTCTCCATGCCCTCACACACTCCAAACTCCTTACCTTTGCACCTGCTGCCCCTTCTGATCGAAAAACTGTTCTCCCTAATCTTCATTTATCAACCCCCCCAACTCAGCCTCTGCTTATGAGTTTATTATTCAGGGTAATATCCCTTATTATCCTAGGCTGGGCCAGACCCCACACCCTTTCACCCCACCCTCTTTCCCTTCATTGCACCATCTAGGTGTGTATTTGTGTTGGGGCGGGGGGGTACTATTCTTTTCATTGTTATATCCCTAACATCTAGCATAGTGCCTGGGACATGAAAGGATTAATATTAGATGAATGAATAAATATGGACCCATTTACTCTTCACAACAACCCTATGAGGTCGGTACTAAACGAGGAAATTAAAACATGGAGAGTTCAGCTTGCCTGTCATCACAACACAATTCTCTCTCCTTGATCCTGGGACCAGCTCATCATTCATGAGCAGCTGGTAAGTGTGTGTGTGTGTGTGTGGGGGGGGGGTGACACGATTCCCCAACAAGGCTAACAGGCAATCCAGCTGTGTGTTAAAAGAATCTTGACCAAATAAAGAATGTCTGTTCGTCAAGACATCAGACAGTAAGTAGTAAGTCAAGTCACTAACTAGGATAAGATAGCTATGCTTACATTCCAAGAAAGAACTCATATCTAGAATATGCAAAGTGCTCCTCTGGACTAAGAAGACAAAAGTTTGGCTCAGTGGTTAGAGCATCAGCCTGCAGTCCAGAGCGACCCAGGTTCGGTTCCTGCTAAGGGCACATACCTCAGCGGTACATGCAGGGCAGTTTGTTCCCGGCCCTGGTTGGGTTGTGTGGGTGGCAGCTACTTGATGGGTCCCTTTCACATCGATGTTTCTCTCTCTCTCTCTCTCTCTCTCTCTCTCTCTCTCTCTTTCTCTCTCCCCCCCCCCTCTTTCCCTCCCTCCCTCCCTCCCACTTTATCTAAAAAAAAAAAAAGAAAAAATGTCCTCGGGTGAGGATAAAAAAGAAGACAAAAGCAAAAGTTAACAATCCAATAGGAGATAGATGAAAGCCATGAACAGACAGTTCACAGAACAGAAAACAGATGGGCTCTAAACCCAGGACAAGATGTTCAGGTTCCTTGGTAATCAGGGGAGCGTACATTAAAATCAAAATGAGATATGATTTCACCCCCAGTAGATGTGCAGAAAGGCACACAGATGCTGGAGAGGAAGAATGGGAGCTCTCTTCCACTGCTGGTGGGGGAGTTCACCCATCTGGGAAAACTGTGGTACCAACCATTTAATAGTAAACATGTGTGTTTCCCTGACTTGGCATTTTCACTCCCAGGTATTTACCCAAGAGAAACTCTTGCATGCCTGCCCAGGAGACATGGAAAAAATGCTCACAGCAGCAGTGTTCATAAGAACCCAACACTGGAAACAGCCCAAATGTCCATCAGCAGGAGAATGGATACAACTGTTATGGAATGCAGTGATGAAAACATAGGACCATATGCAAAAAATCCTGGATGCATCTCCCAGCCATGATGCTGATAAAGAAGCAGGTTGCAGTATGATTCTATTTATATCAAGTTACAAACAGGCAGCATTAATTAGTTAGTACTTGTTTAGGTGGCAAAATTGTAAGAGAAAGTTTTGCAGGAAATGCAGGACAGTGGAGACCTCTTTCAGGTGAGAGAGGAACATGAGAAAAAGTTAGGACACACAGAAGATGTCAAAGTTACTAGTAATATTTTGTTTCATGAAGGGAAGTAGATATATAGACATTTACTGATATTCATACGTTGTGCAGGTATGTTTTGCATGTTATTTTATGTCCAAGAGGTGTTTCACAATTTTTTTTAATCCTCACCCGAGGATATTTTTGCATTTATCCTGATAGAGTGGGAGGGAGAGAGGGAGGAAGAGAGAGAGAGAAACATCAATGTGAGAGAGACACATCGACTGGTTGCCACCCACACAACCCCAACCAAGGCCAGGGACAAACTGCAACCAAGGTACATGCCCTTAATAAGTACTGAACCCGGAACTCTCTGGTCCACAGGCCGATGCTCTAACCGCTGAGCCAAACTGGCCAGGGAGGTATTTCACAGTTTTAAAAAGCCATGTTGGTTAATTGTAACAGTGCAAAAATTATTCAACATTAAAATTCTATCAATGTGAATTACTGCATTTAAGGGGCAAAGGGTAAAAAAACAAAACAAAACATTATCTCAAGATAGAATTTGATGATATATTCATTTTATGAAAATCTTTTAGCAAATAAGAAATTAAAGACATTTCCTTAACTTGATAGAGGATTATCCATCAGATATATACAATAAATATTATATTTAATAGTAACATAAACATTGGAAGAATTTCCATGGAGTCAGGATTAAGACAAATACATCAGCTTTCACAGCTACTATTCAGCAATGACCTGGAGATTCTTAGCCAATGCAGTAAGATAAGAAAAATAAATGAGAGAAATAAAGATTGGAAACAGACAACATTGTCATTTTACAAATGATTTGACTACCTATACACTATCCTATGAACTGAAAAACCAGAAATAAAAGTTCTGTAAGGTGACTAGGCAATATTAAAAAAAAATCAATAGTGTGCTGGCAGCAACCAATAAGAAATTGCAATAGAAAAATATACTGGCCCTAGCCTGGCTGGTTTGGCTCAACATTTAGAGCGTAAGCCTGAAGACTGAAGGGTCACGGGTTTGATTCCCAGTCAAGGGTATGTACCTGGGTTGCAGGTTTGATCCCTGGCCCCTGTGGGGGTTGTGCGGGAGGTAACCAATGGATGTGTC